GGGGGGGTAACATCTCGTGCCTCTATCTAGGCTGATTGTATTTTCGTTATTTGATTTAATAAAACCACTTTCATTTATCAAAAAATAAATAAATAAATTTATTAATAGTAGGAGTGCAAGTCAAGGTGAACATAGACTTGGGATTGGAGACAGAAAAAAATTCAAAGAGACCTCTTATACTACCTTGGTTCAATAATTCATGTAAGTGAAAGATTAAGAGGATGTCACCCATAGAATTAAAGCAGGATGGAAAAATGGAGGGGAGCATCTGGAAACTTATAAGATAGGTGAATACCACTTCAGCTAAAAGGAAAGTTCTATAAAACAGTTGTAAGGCCAGCAATGTTGTATGGAGTATTGTATTGGGTAGCTAAAACACATGTCCAAGGTGTAACAGAAAGACGAATTTTGAGATGGACGAGTTGAAAAACTAGAAAAGACAGTCAGAAATGAAGTCAGTCAAAGGAGCATAGGATTATTTCCTATAGGCAATAAACTTAGAAAGTAGATTAAGATGGTTTGGCCATGTGAATGGAAGACCATCAACAGCACTCATAAGAAGTTAACTGTTACAAGTTTAAGGGGTTAGATGATCTAGGAACAGAAAGAAAAAGGTATAGGTGATGTAAGCACTCATAGTTTAACAATAGCTATGGCACTGAACAGAACAGAATTGTGAAACAATACTCATGTAGCCAAGCCCATAAAGTTGGGACAAGATTTAGATGATGATGATGATGATGATGACTTGTATGTATGTTATTCCAGGCTGGACTGAAAAGCATTTGTGTTACAATGTTTGTACAAATCATGTTCTAATTAGTTTATCATATGAGAGGACAAGTATTCCAAATCTATAATGAGAGCTAAAGCTTAATCAAAATGAAAAATCATCATATGTAATCATCATTATGGAACTAGACACATGCATAAGAAATATGTACCTTGAAAGATAAAATCACTCCAGGTTCCAAAACAGCTCCTGTCTTTAATACTACCCCATCACAAACTATTGCATGCCTTAGCTTACAATCATCTTGAATGGTCACATTATTCCAAATATAGGAACCTTCAATGGAAACATTTGATCCAATATTACATCCTTCACCAATAACGGAATTTGAGATTTTAGAGTTGTCACCAATGCTGGTATTGTTCCCAACCAATGTAAAAGGACCGATTTGTGCAGAACGTGATTGCTTTACCTCTGGAGAAGATAATTGGGCTTAGTTAACATGAAAATGCTTAAGGAAAATAAGACAAACAATGAAC